TGACATCAAGGAGGATAGAGAGGGTCTTTAACATAGGTAATAATATTCCTCAATAGTATAAAATCATGTATCTTACTAGATTTAACTTGTATTTTAAGATCCTTTGGTTAATACGAGATTAATCAGTTATCAAGTCAAAATACAAACATCGAAATTCTCAATATAACGCTAACATTACTCAAACATATATCTAAAAGGACACAAGACAAGAAAAATGATCAGTATTGTTTGATTGTGACTCTAGTGTTAACTACATTACTTCATTCAAAATGAAAGTTTTATGGGAAATATGGGTCGAAAGGTATTGTTTTGGAGTTAGAATATCACTTCATTAAAATTAATGAAAATCAATCAACTCAATATAACTAAATGTATCAAAACTGTTACAAAAGAAATGAACTGTACCTTAAATGAAAGATCCCTAGAGACTTCTACATTTCCCATATTTACCAAAGAAAATAAACTAATGTCTTTCAAAATGGGAACATACGTTTTTTCAAACATCTTATAAAACCATGAAACTAGAAAGCTTAAAATTGCGAAAATTGACGAAAAATATTTTTATAAGTAATCTGTAAGCAGTTTCAAAAGAAGCAATTAATAAACAAGATTTAATAAAAGAAACTTTATTACCGATGGTACAATAAATAAAGCACAAGTGAAAATCAAATATGCGAACAGGCAAGGTTTCTGTTATTTTTCAAAGCAAACAGAAATTTCTAGAAATAATGTCAAATTTACCATAAAAATTAGTTGAGCTCTCTGTTTAATTTTGGTTAACTCTAACATGCATTGATTTTGCTTGTATAGATACATATTAGATTGTTCTCTTGTATACTTACAAAAAATACAACAATCGGCTGCAGTTAGTTAACTCCATTCTATTTGAGTGAGTGAAATATTACATAGGCATAAATACAAATTCCTGGCTACAAATCAAATATTTTACACGCAAAGCAAATAGTTTTCAGTTTTTAAAGTTAAACTGTAAGGTAACGATGAAAACTCTATGACTCATTTATACGGACGTTTCTAGGTAAATATTATTTGAGGATTTCAAATTTAAATGACCAGTCTTTAAAAAAGTTATATTTACATAAATAAAATCTGATCAATAAACTATTCTTGAGATTTTAATACATAATTATTAAATCCTATTTCAACCTATTGTCTCTTCACTAATTATATTTTATACATAAATCAATTAATTTAATTCCCGGATACTCTTTGTAAGATTAGAAATGTATCATTATTTCTCAACATTATGCATTCATTCATCTTTTAATAGTATAAATAATAAAATATAAAAGAATTCAGAGATGAATCATTTGAACTCGGAGAATCCCTATGTAAGTGAACTATTAAGTTTAAAATTTATACTTCAGTGAAAAATCTATAATTACGTTTACAGAAATTATGATTTAGCAGTAAGTTCAACCTTTCACTTTGAAAAAGAACAAGAGAATAATCGATCATATAATGAGGAATGGCTGTTAAGTTTTGTGACTTTAATCTATTAAATGCTAATTGATAGAATAAAGATATCATATTCAAATTGATTTTTAATTCCTCAATTATATCTTAAGGTCTGTTTGAACAACATGAGATTTAATAATGTTATAACTACATATCAGTGCATAACATTTGGATTAAGAACCTATGTGGTTTGCATGAATAGTTTCATGAATCACAAAAAGTATCACTTTTTATTTTAATAAAACTCAATAAACTATTTTTAAGTCTTTAATGTTTATCCATAATTTTTACTTCACAACGGAAATTGGTCATTAAAATCTCATAATTGTTAAAAGAATATAGAGTTTAAATTGAATAAATTCTTGAAATTCACCTCTCCATTAAATATTACACCTTTGATGTTTAATTGAGAATTAGAGAAAAAGCTCATTAGTTGCCGCCTATAAAAAGAACTTAAATAATCAGTAGTAAATTATCGCATCTTTTAAATATTAGAAACAAGTCATTTTCTATCATATTTGTATACAAACATCCTATGATATCTTCATAATATTAGTTACAAGCATTAGAGCTAAGCTTTCACGTACACTTTACTGTTGGTTATTATTATTTCATAAATAGTGTTAAGATAAAACAACACTGGGTATTAATGTGAACTGAAAAAAAAGACGTTAACGTTCCTCGTTTTTATGTTACAAAAATATTAAGTGGAACATTTTTCCAGGTTGCATAGTACTAAAAAAGTCAGATAAAAATTTGAAATCAACCGTTTTCGTGAGAAACATCATTAGTGATACTTATAAGACTTTTGAAATCAAATATGACTCGGCCTCAGTTGAGTATTTTTAATAAGTCTAATTTGCCAATTAAGCAGTATATAGTTTGATTAGAATAAACGAGTTATTTAATAAGTTTTCACTTTATGCTATTTCATTACGAGTTTATACAAGTTAAACAATCATTAAAAAAGAAAGATATATAGAACAGTTTCCCATCTAAATACTAAATTTCTTTTAATCTAATCAATAGTGCTGCTTTTCACATTTCAGATGATCCCATTGAATTTGTTGACTGTGGTGATTTTAATATATCTGGCATAATGTTATGATCACATTTGTAACATGTTTACAAGCCCTCGTCACAAATTATTCAGTTTAATTCCCCTTGAGTATCAAGACATGTAATAATTGTTTAACCTTATTTTAGGTAAAAAATAAAAAGCCTAAAATCAGGTGACATTAAAAAAGAACAACTTAGAATATGCATTTAAACCCAATAAATGTCAAATAAGAAATGACCCAAATAAATTTACTTTGAAGAATTTTTGTCTATTCGAGTATTTTCATTAATAAACTGCTTCGAATCTCTTATATGACCGACATATATTCAGCTCAGTATACTAGTTAAGATGGGATTTACAAATGTATTAATTATTTTGTTGCTAGTCATAGTATACAAAAAGGTGTACATTATTCCACTGTAATTTTAGACGAAATCAATCCTTGTTAATTTTGTAATTACTAATTAATGAAATTATTTCATTATATTTATAAATAAATAGAATACAGTAAGTATTTAAAGTGCACTGAATAATTTTAATATCACCGAATTAGGCTAGGGCGAAATCAAACTTTAAAATTTCTATGCTTGTTGTCTTGGATTAATGAATTGCATGTACGTTGGAAAACTTTTTTTTACAGTTTCGAAATCAGATACGCTTCGTATAAGAAAGTAACTAAACATATCTTTTTTGAGCAAAGATGGATAGTGGCTAGCAGTGGAATCCAGTCCTAAAACATCAATGAGAAGATTCAAGTAAAACAATATCAAGTGAATTAAACTTCACCCCATTGCACAAGCAAGTGGCTATCAGGACTCAGTAGCTAATTGGATAACGCGATGGCGTTTGAAGTGAATGGTACTGAGTTTGAGTCCCAGGGTGAACATCAACTCTGAGATGCAGGTACATGCAGCTGACGAGTCCCAAACAGGACAAAACGCGCGTCCTGGATTCTACTGCTAACCACTATCCATCTTTGCTTAGAATGCTTGTAAATTAAGACAATATCGAGGCATACGCACAGTATGCACATATGCCAATAAGAGACTGATCAATTTCAGTCCTAAAACATCAATGGGAAGATTCAAGTAAAACAATACCAAGTAAATATCTTTTTTGTATGTTTTTCCTCATCAGGATCAAGCCAAATCCATCATTAACTCTCTTCAAGATGATAAAGGGAACAATGTGTATGAAATAAACTTCAGTGTACTAATGATTATTTGGCATATTCGTTCAGTCTGTTGTAATACATCATACACGGAAAAACATTTCTATGAGAAATTATATTTCAATTCTTAAATCCACTTTGAATATGGAGATGTTAGTTTAACTGTCTGTCAAACTTTCTAACAAATAAATCATTTTTTGAAAGTTATACGAAACTGTGGTAAAAAGATATTTGTGAATTAGACTAAACAGTTTGCATGCTTAGTAAAGGAAGAAATTAATGTCAGTTTAACTTGCCTGTTTATGTAAAGTATTTATTTCATTTAGACAAAATTAGTTTCTTAAATTATAGGAAAATGAATAGAAACAGTCACATAAACATTATAATTCTAATTAATGATGAAAATTTCTGGTAGTATATTGAAATCCATTATTTAGTGGTATATAAGCCTAATTAATTAACTGTGATTTGGAAAAGTGTTAAATGTTAAATAATTCATTTCCAATTTATTCTTATGCATAAATGACAACAAGATTTAGGATTAACTCCAAGAATAGTCAATGAGATGATGAAATCCAAATTTACACTTGATGAACAAAGTATGTTACCAGGACAAGCAATCAGTAATGTTAGTTTCCTGTTGATTTTAACATGGTAACTAATAAAAACGTTGCACTCGAATAAGCATTCAAATAAAAATGCACATCAGGTTGTACAGAAAGAAAACATTTACTAATTGTAACATTTGTTTGTCATCATGACGCTGTTACAAAAACTGAAATCTTTTATGAAAGATCTATCAGCAAGAAGTTTTTTCATTGGATTTTAAATTGTATTTAATGCAGATATTACTAACAGTATGTCAATGAGTTTTTCTTTCATGCGTACTAAATGTATCATCCCTACGTACTATACGACTGTCACCAGAATTTTGTTGATGCCAAATCTAAAGTTCACACAAATCACGTTGATAGAATCTAGAGTTGAATGAAAAACTACTTAAATTCATGCAAACGTTCTGTAAAATTGACATGTTATAGCATAATAGATGGCTCACTCGGAATGATTCCATTTTAAATTGAAAGAGTATGTGTAAAAAATAGTCTGCGTTAACCTTGTAATATCATATTACTGAAGACGTGTACAAATAGATATCTGTGTCACTGTATAAAATCATTTATTCGCAAAAAAACGTTACACACTTTTCTCCCACCTTAAACGTATTAACTAACTCTACTTCATCAAACATAATTGCAAAAAAATCAATAAAAAATGTAAGAATAAAAAACTTACACTACTTAGATGATCATCGATTTGTCTACCTTCATAAACATTCAAAGACTGTTGAGTATTCATACCATTATGTTCATTATTATTATTATTATTATTATTATTATTATTATTATTATTACCAGATAGATTGCATTCCTTGAAATGATAACTATTATTCCTTTGCTCTTCCACAATTCTATCTTTTTCATCATTTTGTTTAATTACTTTCTTCGAATGTTTTTTCACTTCAACTGAAGGTAACAAATCTGTTGAACTTAGTGAATCCAATGATTCTAAAGATGATGTTTCGGAAGAAATTGATGAATGTAAATTAGGAATTCTGTTTGACCTTTTATTTGTCTCTTTAAGAATTGGTTTTTGTTTAAATCGTGCACTGCGGAATACAGGTGAATATTTAGGACTTAATAAGTTATAAACAAGATTGGTAGCAAAGTGCATAGATGATGATGTTGTACTCGTACGTCTTGTATTTCTATTGTTGTTATTAGTGTCATGTATAGTTGATAATTCTGTATCCGTATCGTTAGATATTTCATTACTTAAACTTCGATAGCCTCTTGAACGACGGGTAGTTTTTAAAATACTCGGTGAATTCATTGTTCATGAATATAATAGTAATAATGAAGTTTTTCTTGAAAAACACTAATATTTATCCACTTATCTAATGAAACAAACATTCACGGGGTTCATCAAATAGCATTTTTAGTATGATAAAATGAAGTAGTATATATTTTGATTCACATAAAAAGTATATTCCTGATTGGTTAATACTATGCCATGTCTTATTGGCTGATTAGTCGGTTTTAATAATTCGTCACCCATCTAGTAACATGATATCGTGTATTTACTATTATTAATATGGTTTGTAACAGTATCATTATTTCGTTCCCAAAAATTATACTCAGTTATGTATCTGTATTATTTAAACAAAGATGTGAAGCCTCTTCTAGTGAACCGATAAAACTGAATACCTTATATGGGCTTTAACTACAACAACAACAACAACAACAACAACAACAACAACAACTACTACTACTACTACTACTACTACTACTACTACCACTACTACCACCAAAAGTTCCATTTTGTTTTAGCAGTAAATAAACGTTTTTAAAGTAATAGATAAACAAACTGTATAATAGTGAATAAGCTGGTAGACATATTAACTGGAAACTGGTTAACACAAATGGTTAATATGAACTAAACACTGTGATTGTTAAGACCACTGGTTGAACAATCAGTGCATTTATATCATTCTCCAGTGAAATGTAAATATAGATTACTATATTAAGTAACATCAGTGCTAGCTTCTAAAACAGTACTGTTTTATCCAGGTACAACGATCATTAATTGCACTTCGAATTTACCTACCGCTATATATTATGTAAGGATACGGTCTGAGCCTAAAATAAAAGATTGAAGAAGAAACCAGTGTATTTTTATTTATAATTTGAGGTTTATTTAATTTGGTCGATAAGTTTCACACCATTCATTTATAAAAAATACTACAATTCGATATCGTTCTCTTAATTGCTGTTATGTGTTGTTTTAGAATTCGCAAGTAAACCCATTACATTTTGTGTTGCTAATTTATAAATCGTGTACATTTTGTTTCATCATAAAACAGTCAACGTCATATTATCTTGAAGTGCAAAATAATATACTTTAAAATCTCTATGATGATTTATTTGATGTATGTAGCTGAATGAATGATTTTAGAGTAAATATTAGGCATTTAGTTATCAGAGGTATTTGAAACTAGTAGGTTTAATTCTTTTAGATCTAAAGATGGTGATTTACATTGACACAATATCAAGAATTCGAAGATGTATAAAATTTGTAGCAACCATTTCATAAAAAAATGCAGCTTTTCAATAAAGATAAATCACGACGAGTAGCTGATAACGACTTTTCATAATTATTGTCTCATTATTGTTCGTTGTGTACAAACCTTCAGTCCCTCCTGTTCTAACGTAAAGCTCTTATCGACTTATAAAATACGTTTTCCATAGTACTTTTCAACTTTGTAATCGATAAGAGTCATTCTTTCAGAAATATTCTTAGTGTTTATCAATTATCTCCAACACCATTTCATAATGTTCCAAACTTATATAGTTGATAAGCGGGGCTCCTAATCAATGTATGAATGATTTTGATCATTAGTTGCCAGGAGATATTTGTTCTGCTTCTTAGATGACTTCATTACATAGAAGTTTCATAAGGTTTTATACTAACGTAATCCATATTATTAATTTATTTTCGAATGAGTTATAAAAAAACACGACTTAATACTACAAATTTAATTCTCAGTATGTCACAGTTCCTTTTATTTTAGAATTACATTTCCTACTTAAAAACATTCAAAACCTGAATGTACTCATCCGCTGCTTCTCTCTAGCTTGCCAACAATGCAGACCCATGACACGTTTGTCTTATGGCGAGTATAATATCAACTTAAAGATAGCCAACTACACCTCTATGTTCTACAAATTAAAAAAAAAATTTTGTAATTGTCCACACACTCCAAAAATCACTGAAATAACACGAATCGATACCTCTCTGTTTTTATGCATTATAGATATAAAATCAAGCTTTATTTAGAACCTTAAACCTACCTACAGATCTTATTATTTGATTCGTTTTAATCAATTTTATGTTACACTCAATTTTGTTCATGTTTCCTTTTGTCTTCAGTAAACGTTTTCTACTAAATTCTTCTTTTTTTATCGTTCGAGTGAAATATTTTTTCTAAGTTTCAGTCAATAGTTTTTTTCTAAAATAAAAAACAAACAAACAATTTCTTGACTGAAATAATTTTCTTCTTTAAATGAATAAATACTTATTTCAATTTTGTTGATAATATACTTTGTGACAGAATGTCATTTAAAATAAATAAAATTACTTCCATTGAATACGGTGCCACTTATTTTTTCTAATGACGTTTGCTCATTCCTTTTTTTATCACACTATTTTTTTAATTTTGAAAATTAACGTTTTAATTTTAAATAAATTCAACTTTTCAATCAGATGAACACATACCTCCCCACACACACATACACACACTAATGACAAAACAATTCAAAATAATAATGATAGTAAGTATAATCGCTGTTGTCTTAGTAATTTTGATAGAACTATTGATATAAATCATCAACAACAAAATAGCACAACAAACAATGTAACGATTATAACCTTGAATTAGTGCTTTTATATGATTAGAAACACTAATATAAGTGTTAATAATCATGACAGTAAGTAAACAGATGCAGAATATTAAATGACTCTCAAATTTATAATCAGAATAAACTGTAGTGCATTATAAACAGGAAGGGGATATTTTGAGAAATACACAAATCAATACAATTTGATAAAATGCAACCAGGCAAAAATCTTTTTTAGAATTACTGGTACAAATGAAAAAAAACGGTACTAGAAATGTTTCCTAAGAATAAGCAATAAACTAGGTTCAGCCAGCCGTAACTGACTGACCTGCGTCAACACTTGAACTAAGAATAGGGAGTGAAGTAGTCGAACGTGTTGACAACTTCACTTATCTTGGAAGTCTGACCAGCCCTAATGGGTCGATGTCTGACGAAATCTCACCACGGATTCGAAAAGCTCGTTTGGCTTTTACCAACTTGTGTTACCTATGGTAAAGGCGAAATATCCATCTATCAATTGAGGGACGAGTATACTGCATGGCAGTTTGTTCTGTTCTACTTTACAGCTGCGAAATATGGCCATTAATAGTTGAAGATACTCGTAAGCTACTAGTATTTGACCACAGATGCCTTAGAAATATTGCTCGCATCTAATACCACGTTTTGATTTGGCTGCCCCCAACTTCCTTCCAACCATTCCTAACACTAGTCAGCATTGCGCGTCGTGGTAATCGGTGTTCAAGCATACGCAACACGTGGCCCAACCATCTCAGTAGATGAAGATTCACAACCTCATCAACTGATTTACCATCATTCCCTAATACTCTGCGTCTAACCTCTCTATTACTCACTCGATGATCTCAGCAGATGCGAGCAACATTTCTTAGGCATCTGTGGTCAAATAATATATATTAACTGAACTGAAACTCTATTTTTTATTTAAAGTGTCAGCTTTTTGATAATTTATCATGAAATCTAAAAGTATTATAGGACTTATCTAGTTTCTGTTCACTTAATCGTTATTATGAACATGGAAAGTGTAATCATAACTTTGTGAACAGGGAAACAAATCTTTATAGTACTCATTTCGGCTCTTATAAGCACTTCATCAGCTACGTTACTTATACATAAAGAAGTGTAAGCTAATATTTAAGTTCAATGTCAGTCAGTCAGTCAGTAACAACGTAGAACTTCGTACGTACGTACATCAGTTCGAGTTGCCATACCACGTTAGCACACAGATGCAGTGGTCGATTCAAATCCCGTAGTGGTAGAGGTAATAAGAGTATAGGCAGTAATCGGGAAGATTAGGGTTTGAAGATGTTATTTAACGAGTATAATCCAGTGAAATAAATTTGGAAAGAGGAAAAAAAGGGGCATGAAGAATTCAGATAATTAGAATTTGGGAGAACATAGAGAGTGGATAAACCTGCGCCATTGCAAACGATTTTGAGCCATGTCATTCAAGGTCTCTAACCATCGGTCGCTATCATCTCGCGGTCCTCAACCAGGTAGTTTACACCTACCAACATGACTCAGACCACTTGTCAGTGACTTCACGGATTTGTGCCATGTTGTGGTCTGACCGCGCCTACCTTTCTCCCAATCTACTCCTAGACCATTGAACATCGCACGTCGAGGCATTCGGTTGTTGGGCATACGTAACACGTGTCCAAGCCATCTCAACTGATGAAGTTTCACCACTTCATCAATTGATTTGCCATCCTTACCTAGTACCCGTTTCCTAACAACTGTGTTACTTACTCGAGGGTCCCATGATATACGAGCAATGTTTCGAAGACACCTATGATCGAATACTAGTAACCTACGAATATCTTCTACTCTTACCGGCCATGTTTCACTGCCATAAAGTAGGACGGGACGAACTGCCGCGCAGTAAACACGTCCTTTGGTTGGTAGACGGATATCTCGCCTACGCCATAAATGACGCAAGTTGGCAAAAGCTAGTCGAGCCTTCTGTATCCGTGCTGAGATTTCGTCGCATACCAGACCACAAGGCTGATGAGACTTCCAAGATAAGTGAAGCGGTTGACACACTCAACTACTTCACTCCCTATCTAAGTTCAATGTACAGCAATATAACTATCTGGGGAGGAAACTGAAACGATATAGGTAAAGCAATTTAATGTGTTATCACTAGGTATTATGTCCATACACTTGAAATATGTGATTATGTAAATACGTCATTTGGCAAATCATTTTACAAAGTTCATGAAAGTTCATGGAAACCATAAATCTCATGAAATTGACATTTACAATCATTATGTAAGTTAGCAAGAAAACTTATTTGACATCATCTTCTTACAGTAGTAATACAATGGTCACAAGTGTTCTGCTATAACAGTAAATGCTTAATTTTAGTAATATTATAGCTATAAACTCAGAAAATCTGATAAGAACTAAGCTCTTCATAGCTGAGAAGATATTTTTTCCGAATGATTAAAATTATTCGCTTTCTTTGTAATTCGTAATAGTCTAACAAATTGAATAATAGTTTTTGAGGAAGTTTT